TAGATGCAGGATGTGGTCAAAGTCCGGCAACGGCTAATTATCTCCAAATTTAATTGACCTTGAAAATCGACCTCAAGGCCGATTTCAAGGTCGCCATCAAGTGCATCACTTTAAACTCTACAACTTTGGTCCTAAGCACTTTTTTCAGAACATGTATCGTTTCAGAAATAATTAGCCATAACTGTCTCCACCTCCAGGAGTTGAGAGATGCTTTCTACCCCTAAAAAGCGTATTTAGCCGAAACAAAAAAACACGTATTTAATATTTTTCGGTGTTTAATAAGTATGTTAAGTTTCATTCAAATCGGTGAGTATCAGTTGGGTAGTGTTACTTGTTAGCCGAAGCGCCGAGTGCTATAGTTCGTGACGGGCAGGCGCACGTACACAGTAGTTTGCTTGTGTACGCGCCGCTGCACGTACTATAGCGGTGCTGTTTGGGTCCTGAAACAGAGAGAAGCCTGAGAACGGGCATGGCTGCATTTACAGTGTTATGGAAAAGTTGGCTGATTCGCAGCGCCAACTGAGTCCATTTTTCATGGACATGAACTATTAAGCCAATGTCCACGATTTGTTGGTACTATTCCGTGCTATGTCCATAATTATTTGGTTCTGTTCTGTGCTATATTCACGAGCGAGCTAGATTAGTTAGATAAAAACGAAGAATCGGTCTTTGTCTCACCACCAGCGAATAGACAACTCTCAGAGCAATGTTATAGTTGTTCAGTGCACTACTCAATAAAAATATAATAATACTATCTTTGTATGTGTGAAGAATATTTGCTAACTTACAGGATATTGTAATAAAAGCAAGGAGGTTTTATCTCGTACTTCTAAGGCCAAGACTTATTAACGGCTAAAGACATATTCGAATTGATCTTGCCTTAATTGGTCGGATCAGTGATCGGTCTTGCCTTAACTGCCAAGCCTCATAACTCGAAAAGTACTCGATGAAATATAACTTTGTTAGAGTGTTTTAGAATGCTCTCGAGATAAGCTACAAGAATATGTAATAAAAAATCGTAGTTTCTATTTAAAAAAACATTAATGACTTTGGCCTGATTTTGACAAGGTCACTTCACTCAAGGTCAGTCCACATTTCCGTTATGTGTCGTCCTTCAAGCCATGCAATTTTCGTTCGAAAAATTTTTTAATAAAATAACATAAATTTTTACAAGTAAAATTTATCATTATTTATTAGAACACTGAGTTATATGGTTATTTTACTTGTTATTGTAACAAATTAATTATTATAACAATGCAATAAAAAATATTTAATACATAAAATCTTGGCGCGGCTACATCAAAAACTATATCGAACTAAAACTTGTTTAATACATGACAGCATTTTTATTATAATATATTCTATAATGAAGGTTTATAATTTATTTATTATAATACTATATAAACTTAAATAGAACATTATGCCGTATATGTATAAAGAGAATTTACAAAAACATTTTATTATAATAAAAATGCTGTCATGTATGTATTAATCAAGTTTTAGTTCGATATAGTTTAGTTCGATAGTTTTTGGTGCAGCCGCGCCAAGATTTTATGTATTAAATATTTTTTATTGCATTGTTATAATAATTAATTTGTTACAATAACAAGTAAAATAACCATATAACTCAGTGTTCTAATAAATAATGATAAATTTTACTTGTAAAAATTTATGTTATTTTATTAAAAAATTTTTCGAACGAAAATTGCATGGCTTGAAGGACGACACATAACGGAAATGTGGACTTGACCTTGAATGAAGTGACCTTGTCAAAATCAGGCCAAAGTCATTAATGTTTTTTTAAATAGAAACTACGATTTTTTATTACATATTCTTGTAGCTTATCTCGAGAGCATTCCAAAACACTCTAACAAAGTTACATTTCATCGAGTACTTTCCGAGTTATGAGGCTTGGCAGTTAAGGCAAGACCGATCACTGATCCGACCAATTAAGGCAAGATCAATTCGAATATGTCTTTAGCCGTTAATAAGTCTTGGCCTTAGAAGTACGAGATAAAACCTCCTTGCTTTTATTACAATATCCTGTAAGTTAGCAAATATTCTTCACACATACAAAGATAGTATTATTATATTTTTATTGAGTAGTGCACTGAACAACTATAACATTGCTCTGAGAGTTGTCTATTCGCTGGTGGTGAGACAAAGACCGATTCTTCGTTTTTATCTAACTAATCTAGCTCGCTCGTGAATATAGCACAGAATAGAACCAAATAATTATGGACATAGCACGGAATAGTACCAACAAATCGTGGACATTGGCTTAGTAGTTCATGTCCATAAAAAATGGACTCAGTTGGCGCTGCGAATCAGCCAACTTTTCCATAACGCTGTAAATGCAACCATGCCCGCTCTCAGGCTTCTCTCTGCCTGAAACTGGCATCACTGGCATCACTGCATTGTGCAACGGGCTTCACACGTATGCTAAATTTATATAGTACTATCGGTAAAAAAGTGAAGAAATTAGTTCATGCCTATTTGGCAGAAGGCGCAAACTCCGAAGCGCGCCAACACATATATCAGCAGAAAAATAAACTTGATACATTTATCAGGTTAGGAAATCTGTCATCCGAAATGACTTTTTGAATAAACAGTAATTGTATTGATAAAGTGATAAGCAACGAGGCTTATGCAGCTGAGGAAAAATAAAAACTGAGTGACAGTATCATCCTGCATGGAGAAAAGAAAATACGTAATATATGCTTTCAATTATATATAATACTAGAAGCATTTATTGAAATGTGGGCTGGTGCCAGAGATATCTCTTTTGATGTGATCTGTTTGTTATTAATTAATATCAGAGTCATCTACTTAAATATGGGCTGGTTATCATTAATTAGTGCCAGAGGCGCCTTTTGTGACATGAGCTGGTAATTTATTGATATATATGTTTTAGCGTCACAAGTGGCATTGAATAATTAAAAATATCAGAGACATGTTGTATGTTGTAAACTGGATATTAAAGTATTACATTGACTGTCAAAACTTGCTTGCAACTGTGACGTGATAAACAGATTATTGAAAACAGAGGCAATAAATCAGAAGCATAATCTGTTCTTTCAATAATGTAGAATATCAAAGGCATCTAATATGATGTTAACAGATTATTGAAGCAATACGTTGACAAAAAAACTTGTTTTCAATCATGGCTTGATAAATAGATTATTGAAACCAGAGAATAATGCAGGCATAAAATCTTGTTACCTTCAATAAATCTTTTTACTTTCAAAAATGCCAAGAATTTCTTATATGATATGAACAGGTCATTAGACCATTAAGTCAACTATCAAAGAAACTTGTTCTCAACCATTAATTGATAAAAACATTATTGATATATGTTTTCTTCCAATAATATGAAATGCATGCATTATCTAGTATTATATAAACTAGATATAAGTATACAGGATGGGGCATCTAAAACAGGCCACCTGAATAACTCCCACAGTTTTTGAGATAGGAAAAAATGCTTGAAATAAAAATTGTAGAAAATCAAGTAATGGACTGGACAGTGACCTCGAATTTGATCTTGGCTATGATCGTCAAGGTCATTTGGAGGTCAACTTATGTTTTTTAAATAGGAACCCTAATTTTTTATTACACTATTTTATTCTACCAATTAATTTGAACAACATTTGTTTAAAATATTTTTTTCTTTGCCTAATATTTTTTTAGATATTTGAGGAAAACTTGATAACTTTTTCAATATTTAACTTACGATATCTCGCTAACTATTTATCGGAAGAAAAGGTGGTACTAGACTTTCTTGCTTTATTTAGTCTCAAGAATATATTGTTATAATAGTGCCCTGATTTTTGTTAATTTGATGATTTTAAAATTTCCAAAAATCAGCAAGTTAACAAAAGTCAAGGTGCTATTGTAATATGTTCTTGAGACTAAATGAAGCAAGAAAGTCTAGTACCACTTTTTTCTTCCGACAAATAGCGAGATATCGTCAGTTAAATATTGAAAAAGTTATCAAGTTCTCCTCAAATATCTCAAAAAAATATTAGTCAAATAAAAAATGTTTTAGACAAAAGTTGTTCAAATTAATTGGTAGAAAAAACAGTGTAATAAAAAATTAAAGTTTCCGTTTAAAAAACGCAAGTTGACCTTTTTTTTATTACGGTGGGGAAATCCTCATGGATACCCCCGCTCCTTAGGGGGGCGGGGGTTATGCTGGACTCTTACCGGCTAAAACCCCACCGGGGTGTCTGCCAGGCGGGCCGGAGTGAGGGGATCGGGGAGACTGCGTCGGCACTCCCTCCCCGACATCCCGGCTCTGGGGCTCTAAGGGAGTCCCTCACCCAAGTGCTGTGCCCCCCTCTGAGGGAGAGGGGCGCGGCACTCCGACCAGTTGCCCGGTCGGGTTGGTCTCCTGGTCCTAACGAAGGAGAGAGGGGACACCCATCCTCTCTACCGGAGGGGAGCGGGGCCCGTCCCCAAACGAGTAAAGGGTGGACTCCCGTACCCCCTTTACCTACCTTTACCGTCGCGCAGGGGGAGGCAGGCCTTACGCCTGTCGCCTCCCCCCCTACGCGGACGGAGGCGGGCTCGAGGCGGCCAAGGAGGCCCTCAACGAATCGAGGGCGGCTCCTCGGCCGGCGCCACCTCGGGCCTGCTAACGCAAGTTGACCTCCAAATGACCTTGTTGGTCATGGCCAAGGTCAAATTCAAGGTCACCATTAAGTTTATTACTCGATTTTCTACAACTTTTATTTCAAACATTTTTTCCTATCTCGAAAACTGTGGGAGTTATTCAGGTGGCCTGTTTTAGATGCCCTATCCTGTATGTAGTATAAAAGAAAGTTATTCTTTATATATTCAGTAATAAAGTAATTGTAACAAATTTTTATTTATACAACAGAAAGGCAATATAATACAAATGTTTTGCTCCAATATGGTACAAAACACGAAGAAAAGTTAAAATATAATATTTATTTCAAAACAACATTTATTTCAGTCATTGCTAATTTTATAATTGTACATGTATGTAAAAGACGATATATTGCATAGTAATAAATCCACATATCACATTATTTGTAAAAGTCGAAAATATAATAATTGCATGCTGAATTAAATGCGATTACAAGGATAATAAGGATTACAGCAAATAATTTATTTCATAGATCACATGTGCACATATTTTCTACATTGTCATAGATCAATACGACATTGAAATGAGATTCAATTATATCTGCCATGACAGATTACTAATCTATGAAAAACACATGTGACCTATATCAGAACTTGGCAAAATTTGCACATTTTGCCCGACTTTCAGTTCGCTCCGTCTACCACTATTCTTTTTATATTTTCTCCTGCAGCTTACAAACCACACGAAACTCAGTAACATATGACGCGTGAAAAAAAAAAGTGTCAATCGTAGGTGACGCGAAAAGCTATTGAAAACAAATTCACGCATCGTACGTTACTGAACCTCACGTCGCTTGTGGACTGCGCACGGGGAAAGACGTAAGAGCAATACTGGTAGACAGAGCAAACTTAAAATCAAGCGAAATGTGCAGATTTTGCCAAGCTTTGACCTACAATGGTGTTAGTATAGCAGTAGATTTTATTATTGCCGCGCCGCGGCGCCTCACTGTAATACCGACACCATCGAAGTTCGGAATCGTCTTCAGCATCTCCTTGGCGGTATTTATAGTTTGATTTTAATGTTGTCTTAAATTTATCTCGTGATATAATTAATATTTGCTACATCTTAAGATAAAATTAAAAAGGACAATTTTACAAATATAAGATTTGACTATAAATATCTTAAATATATTTTATTGTATTCATCATATTTTAAATTAAACAGATGTATATTTGACGATTTTGAAGACAGAAAGAAGAAAGCAATAGAAAAAGAGAAAGAAGGATTGAAAAATGGGATACAGAATATATCAACAAAGAATAGAGAATAAAACAAAGTGTTGAAGGTACAGGAACGTGCAGATAGCCTGACTATTGTATAATGGAATGCAGTCGTGAATTCAAGAGCGCATGCGTCCCCAAATGCGTCAAGAGGTCCGTTATTTATTGGTCTGTTCTTCATCGCTATTATCCTTACTAGTTTCCACCAAGGTCCGTAAATAGAGGAATAGAACAAAATTGGGTCCTCTCCACAGACTTCTGTAGTATAACTAGACTGCTAACTCCCTTATATACTGTAGCACAAAATTGACCCCAAAAAGTATGTATTATATAAGGGAATCAAACATCTGCGCATGCGGGAGTCTACAAGGAGAAGGGGTATATAAGCAATATGGCCCATCCAATTAGAAGAAATGTGTTTTGATTCAACCAGTCAGACGTGAATGTCGGACACCAGGACGTACATACTTTTCGGGATCATGTATTGAGTCGGAGTTAAGGCCATCATACACAAATGAACGTAAGCAGTAAGACGTAAGCAGTAAAGAAACTGACCAATCACAATCAATTATTCTCGTAAGTTTTAAAATGGCGTCCATAAATTTCGATTATGATTGATTGATTTGCTTATTGCTTACGTCTTCCTGCTTAAGTTCGTTTGTGTGTGATGGCCTTTAGCAGTCTAGTTATACTATAAAAGTCTGTGGTTCTCTCACGGTCGCCATTTTGGAGCTAGAAAATCTGTGTTGGTGTACGTGATACTACGTACGTGTAGTATTATGGTTTAGTTGTATGAGTGAACAGAGTAATCAAAACATAGTTTAAAATGTAATCAGAAGTAATCAAAACATAGTTTAAACACATTCCAAAATACCAGTGAGAATTTTCAAAAGAAAAACAATTACAATGGCGACTGTAGTACAAAATATACAAAAAACTAAAATAATTTTTGACTTGACGGCAGTGCTGCTGAAATGTGCCCGTGCACACCGCAGCGTCTGAGGGGAAACATCCCCTCCATGCGTCTTCACGCATACAACGCTGCTGCTCCGCCTATCGGTGTGAAGCCGCGTCGCCTCATGCCGGCCTCGCTCTAGTGAAAAAGAAAATAATCTTTGCTCCTTCTCGCTCCGACTCAACTGCGTTAACGCGCGTCCGAGCATATTTTGGCTTTCTCGGCGTGGATCTAACAATTGTAAGTCGTGAGCGCGATTATGATATATCGTCGCTGCCGTAGGAAAATCTACTATGTACATTTTCCTATCAAATGAAGATGTTTATATCAATATACATTGGCTACGTTCAGAAGAACAAAATGATTCGTGAGCACTTAGTGATTCTTGCTCCTGATTGATTAATACTTCTGGGTCTATGAAGAATCTAAACAAATGTTCCAGTCACAGACAATAATCACTAAGCGCTCACTGATCAGTTTGTTTTGCTGAACGCAGCCATTCACAATTTTATTCTACATATATTGATACAATGTTAAAGTCTCAAAACATGAACATAGACTTTTTTACGGCAGTGACGATTTATGACAAAATATGAAATAAATATAAGGCGAACATTTATATGTACAGGGTGTTTGAAAGCTTATCATGCAGACAAAAGTTGGAAATAGATTGGGTGTAGCCGAGAAGAAAAGTCATGTACCATAACGTTAAATTGGCAATAGTTACCGAATTATTAATTAAAACATGTAAGCCAACGAGCGCGTAGAGAGCGGAGAGCGGCCGCAGGAAGCACGTAGACATTTGATACAGGCGACAAGAGGCGAGCGCGCGCGACGAGGAGCGAGCGAGCGAGCGCAAGCGATAAGAGGCGAGCGAGCGAGCGCGAACGACGAGGAGTATGCGAGCTTTTTCCTTATAGCTCGCTCGCTCTTCGTCGTTCGCACTCGCTCGCCTCTTGTCGCTTGCGCTCGCTCGCTCCTCGTCATTCGCGCTCACTCGCTCCTCATTGCGCGCGCTCGTCTCTTGTCGCTTACGTTGCCCCTCGCCGCGTGCGCCTACCGTCACTCGCTGACTCCGCCTGTATCAAATGTCTACGTGCTTACTGCGGTCGCCCTCTACTCTCTACGCGTTCGTTGGCTCACATGTTTTAATTAATAACTCGGTAACTATTGGCAATTTGACATTATGGTACATGACTTTTTTTCTCGACTACACCCAATCTATCTCCAACTTTCGTCTGCATGATAAGCTTTCAAACACCCTGTACATATAAATGTTCGCCTTATATTTATTTCATATTTTGTCATAAATCGTCACTGCCGTAAATATGCCGTGATAAGCTTTCAAATACCCTGTATAACGTGCCAGTACGTCGCACAATGGGACAAAAGTGGAGTTTTTTAGATAAATCAATCTCAATAGGACTCAATTCTTAATGTATCGGAAGAAAGTTCTGGATAATACTACTGGATTCATAGGCAAATTGAAAAAAAATAGATACGAGTTTTTTCTTTTTTCATTTTTCATTGTTCAAACAATAATTATTTAAACAAATTATAAAAAAAGTCATTTTTTTGAAAAACTAATAACTCTAATAAACTAATAACGCTAATAAATCAATGGGCGTTATTAGTTTTTTGAAAAAATAACTATAATTTGTTTAAATAATTATTGTTTAAACAATGAAACATGAAAAAAGAAAAAACTTGGATCTGTTTTCGATTTGCTTATAAATCCAGTAGTTAGTTTTGTTTGAAATGCAATAGGCAAAGCACAGGTCGTAGCCACTTTGACCGTATTCTATTTATTTGTAGCGTTTTTATAAACAAAATATACTTCGGACGAGAAAATGACATATACATTTTTTCTTATTTTATCCCGTAGAATCGATCCGCATTATTAATTTTTCGAAAAAATGACTCATGATTTATTTAAATATTTATTAATTAAACAATGAAAAATGAAAAAAGAAAAAATATGCATCTTCAATTTGCCTATGAATCCAGTAGTTAGTTTTTTCATGTCACTACTGGTTTCGGCATGGGCTTTAATGCACGCGATAATTTAACGCGATTGACCTTTTTTAACATTTTCTGCTGTTAATTACATTAACAGGAATGCAATAATCTAAAATCGGCCCTGATAACTTTCTTTCAATTGAAATGACTAGGGCTGATGATTTGGACCGGGTAATGAATTACCCGGGTACCCGCTCACTATCTGAAATATGTTGAAAATACCCGGGTACCCGGGTACCCGCGCGTATTACCCGTATTTTTATTATTCGTGTTTGTTTAAATTATCTACCTACTTCATGTCAAACTTCTGACCGTCTCGATGACATACGTTAATTTAATATCGTAATCAGATATAACCTGCATTTAATAACTGCGTTTGCTATTAATTATGTCGCGTCCAAAAAGTTGGGTATGGAAATATGCTGTTCCGTCAGAAGATAGAATGCAGGCGAAATGTAAAGCGTGTGGCCTCATTCTAAATTACGTATATTTCGCAACGATTTCGTTTTATGGATGTGATTATCCATTCTCTGAGTCCGATTGCATCATTTCTTCTGACAATCTTTTATTACATAGACACTCGAGTAATACGGATAATATGGATATTCAAATAATATAGATTATGCAAGTAATATGGATAATACGAGTAATACGGGTAATACCCGGGTACCCAGGTAATTCCCGTATTTCCCGTATTTCAAATAGTGAGAGGGTACCCGGGTATCATCAGCTCTAGAAATGACCTTTTATTAAAAAAAAATTTATTCCGATACATCAAGAATTGAGTTCTATAGATTGATTTATCTAAAAAACTCTACTTTCATCCCACTGCGTGCGACGTACTGGCACGTTATATATATAAATATTCGCCTTATATTTATTTCATATTTTGTCATAAATCGTCGCTGCCGTAAAAAAGTCTATGTTCATGTTTTGTGATTTTAACATATTGTATCAATATATGTAGAATAAAATTGTGAATGGCTGCGTTCAGCAGAATAAAGTGATCAGTGATTAGTGATTATTGTCTGTGATTGGAGCATTCTTTTAGATTCTTCATAGACCCAGAAGCATCCATCAATCAAGAGCGAGAATCACTAAGCGCTCACTGATCATTTTGTTCTTCTGAACGCAGCCAATGTATATTGATATAAACATCTTCATTTTATAGGAAAATATACATAGTGGATCTTTCCACGGCAGCGACGATATATCATAATCGCGTTCACGACTTACAAGGGGAGGACGCATCGACCGGGAAACGGTTTGGAACGAAACTTACGGAGTTAATAGTACTTGACTACTAATAACTCATGGTAATAGCATACGACGCAATATCTCTTCGTTTTCGAGAAAAAACGGTCTAAAGAAGAGGTAACAAAGTGTACGAGTTAAGAGAGGTATTCAACGAAGCGGCGTAGCACAGCAGCGAAGGTAACGAACTACCGAGCTGACGGCTGAGGTTCGATCCCTGCTGTATGGTTTTTTTTTATTCTGTAAGCAAAAATGAAACAGAAAACATTAATAAATAATAAAACTGCATTTCTTAAATATATTAGTGTTTGTTAAATATATTATTAATGATTTAAATTGCAAAAAGACCGTAAATCTTATCTATAAAATATATAGTGTATGAGAAAATTTTTATATAATAATTACAATGGAAATAGGAATAAAAATATTGTTATGAAATGTATAGGAATGCTATTAACCCTTTGCGGTCGATGCCGCCACGGCATTCGCAAGTCGTCGTAGAAGTCGATGCCGCCAGGTTGGCATTTATGATCGCCTGGCGTGCGGCACGGCAAATGAAGCTAGCGATAATGAAAGAAAACTATCCTCCCGATGCTAGATTCAAATGTTTAGATCAACTTACAGATATCCATGTTTATCGATCTCTTCGAAATCGGCCGATCGCAAAGGGTTAAACTAATATGAGATAATTTTTCGTAATCTTATATTGTATATATAAAATATTTATTTCTGTTACAACTCTCTATATTGTGTAGAAGTCGTATTGTGTTGAAGTTGTGTTGTGTCTTTATCTCTTCTGGCAATCCCCCTCCAGAAACTTCCTTCGTGTCATTCTAAACGATCGTTAAGAATGACGAAATGATTCGAGCATCGGAACAGTCGTCAGTAGAACAAGCAGCAGTGTGCGTTTACTAGTGATACAGAACAATTCGGTGATCATATTTAAATTACATATATCATAACAATGTCAGAGAATCCTTCAACAAGCAAAATAGTTGATGTAGAATCGCTAGAAGAAAGATCTTTTGAAAATGAAGATTTTAAAGGTGAATTCACTAATGCTCTCATATATGCGAATTCTATTTACGAGAATAATGAATTATTATCGAAAAATCCTCCAGCGAAAATATAATATATTTTTACTCCTATTTCCATTGCAATTATTATATAAAAATTTTCTCATACATATTTTATCATATATATTTTATAGATAAGATTTACGGTTTTTTTGCAATTTAAATTATTAATAGTATATTTAACAAACACTAATATATCTAAGAAACGCAGTTTTATTACTTATTAATGTTTTCTGTTTCGTTTTTATACTTACAGAATAAAAAAAAACCATACAGCAGGGATCGAACCTCAGCCGTCAGCTCGGTAGTTCGTTACCTTCGCTGCTGCGCTACGCTGTTTCGTTGAATACCCTTCTTACTAACTCGTACACTTTGTTGGCTCTTTTCTTTAGACTTTTTTCTCGAAAACGAAGAGGTATTGCGTCGTATGCTATTACCATGAGTTATTAGTAGTCAAGTACTATTAACTCCGTAAGTTTCGTTCCAAACCGTTTCCCAGTCGTCCTCCCCCTTGTTAGATCCACGCCGAGAAAGCCAAAATCTGCTTGGACGCGCGTTAACGCAGTTGAGTCGGAGCGAGAAGGAGCGAAGATTACTCTCTTTTTCATTCGGCGAGACCGGTATGAGGCGATGCGGCTTCACACCGATAGGCGGAGCAACAGCGTTGGTGCGTGAAGGCGCATGGAGAGGACATTTCCCCTCGCAGGCTGCGGTGTGCACAGGCACGTTTCAGCAGTATTGCCTGACGGTACGTGGTTAATTAGCTGAGCCACGGTCGCCGCCATTTTCGAACCAAACCGTGTGAAATAGATGAGAAGACCTAACTTTGTTCCGTTTCTCTATTTACGGACCTTGGTTTGCACTAGCTCTTTTTTCCTCTTTTTTTTATCAAGTTTCTCAATTATATATTTCTATTTTTTTCGAAGTCCTGAAATTATACATTAATTCAACGATAAATTACGAAAACTAATATTTGTACAGTGCTTCGGTGAATTGTGACGCATCGATCATTATATGTGAATTATCTGTTCAAAGCAGGTAAGAACATTATCAAACAAGGCTACGTATCGGAAGTTCACTCGAGGAAAAAACGTTGCGTAATTCGGCCTAGAACATCATCGATCACAGGTATTTCTATATAAGCAGATGCGCAATATGATATTCAGCATACATGTTAGTGATAGTTGCAATTAATGGTACAGGGACGTGCCGTGTCCTGTGCAAAACCGAAGCTGTCTTCGCGCGGTGACTGAAATCTCTTGTTTTTTTTTTTATTGCTTTATGCATGTTATTATGCGTGTCGCATATCTTGTAATGTCTGGGCAAATGTCAAAATTCACAGTGACAATTCACGTTGTACTTTCTTTGTCGGTGAAAATCATCTCGACCTTGATTGAGTCGAAAGCGTTGTTCTCCGGAACTTTAACACTATGAACCAAACGAAGTGGACAAAACAGTTTTTCTTTCCAGATTCGCATGAACGCTCGTGTTTCGCGCTTTCGCTTTCGAATGACGATCTACTTGAAGACAAGTGACTTCAGGCCAAGAGCAAGCAGGTATCTTCACATATTGGTTAGTCGGTCGTGTATGTTCAAGTTCCGTTTGTACCCCTAATCGGCGACACAATGTTCGCGACGCCATACTTGAACGCAATTCAAAAATTGCCGGGTGACACCGCCAAAGAAAAATGGAAATGGCTTTGGAAACTGAGCGAAGATCAACAAAATGCCAGCGGAGATATCGATCAACTGTCGTCGGAGCTACAGCCGCTATTGCACGTGAATGTCGCCATCAAGCAGAAGATATACGAGGACGTAGCGTCGGCCTTGAAATCCGACGATCTAACCGTAGTGCGACGCGCTCTCCAGGCCTCCTGGTTTTTCGACGGTAGCCACAAGGACGTCGTAAATGTAGAATACTTTTGCAAACATATCTTTCCGTATGTCTCCATGAACACGAGAATGCATATCATAAAGAAATTCGCCCTTAAACTGAAGGATCCACAGTTTGCGCAGCAAATGTTCATAGAAGTGGAACACATTTTCGGCATTCAGCAGGCCTTGCCGTTGATCGTGATGTGCGACGAGGATTTCATTTACCGTACAATCGTGGAGAAGAGTATCAAATTGCCTATGACGATCGCTAAGAAAATCTTCCGTAAGAACATAGATTTCATGGTGCGCTACCTTAATTCGCCCGATATCTGGAAAGGTTTTGTCATGGACGATCATTTCCAAGTTGATATAAACGACTATAAGAGCTTGTTGCCGACATTGGTGAAGAAGCGACCGGCCGCTTTCGCAAAGATCTACGAAAGATATTATGGCAGGACATCATTGTACATAAAACTGAGTAACACGTGCGTCAATGCATTCCTGAAGAATGGAGTAGAGTATCTGATACGAAAGCCGTCCTTGTTTATCAATAGATTGATACCACTCGACAAGATCCACGCGACGATAATTGAGAAGATAATTCCGAATCTGCTGCCTGAGAAGATCGACAAATTCAGCGTGAACGCTGTGTTGGAGTATTTGAAACATTACCCGGAGAACAAGGCATTCGATCTTCTGTGTAGATCTTACTGGGAAAAATACAACTCTGACATTCTGCATACACCTCGAAATGTGACGTCCAAATTACTGAAAATAATGCCCGTTAAGGAGCGCATCAAGCATGCCAGGATCAAGATGAAGCAGGACGAACTGCGCGACGTCAAGGGCACTGACGTGACCGAGTATGAGGATGCCTGGATCTGTTACCTGCCTACCGCGGAATCGATACCGTCTCTGAAAAATTCGATAAAGACGGCCACTACAACAAGGGAGAGACTGGGCTTGTTATTGCGGATGATTTACACGTGCAAGGTGAACAACGACGAGGAAGCGTTCATAGACTACCTTAAGTATTTTCTAGACAGGCATAAGAACGAAGAGATATGGGCGTTCGATCAAATGTTAGATACCATTGCCTCGCTCTATAAAGTGTACAGCTTGAATGAAAATGTTTATTCCGTCCTGAATGACATCGTAGTTACGTTTTATGTAAAATATGGTTATGTCTCGCGGGATATTCTCTTGGGTCTGATCCATTATAGGCTTCAGCGCGACATGCCGATTGTAGAACAGATTAAGATGTTAATAGACACGCTAATGCATGGGTATCCACAGACCGTGAAGTTCCAGTATATATTTCAAAAAAATCCAGACTACGTAAGGCAGTGCATCAGTGTTTGTATGGAGGTCCTAGAAGAGAAGAACAAAACTGAGGATTGGAAAATACGCACGAAGAACTTGCTGCTCGATCTTGTCTTTGCGATATACTATCTCAACGAGGAATACAAGAAATCGCGCACAGAAGTCAAGTTTATGACGGTCCGTGACTACCCGTGGCTGTTGCCTGCTCTATTTGCAAATACCCAGGTACTTGGTGAATATTATTACAACAAGGACGTGGTCGAATTGTTTCGCAAGTACGAGCCGGAATTGTACAGTTTTTGGTTCGTGAATAAAGAAGACAGATATAAAAACGACGTGGAGACGGGTGCGGTGATGGGAACGCTGAAACGGGATCCGCAATCGATATTAGACAATTGGAAGATGTATTTGTGTGCTTGCCAAGTACATGATCGCAGAAAGAACATGCATCGTTTCGTCAGAGCGATACGTTGGTACAAGGACCTGCCTATCCGGTTCCTGGATTATTGCCGAGATAAGTGGCAGCAAAATAAAAACCCAAGTTACTTGATTATTATGACATTGCTGATTCGTGGAGACACTGCGGCGAAGTTGGTGGAACCTTTGATACCCACGCAAGTATATTGTCCGAAAAGCCATGCTGGGGATCTCAGGGAAGACTACCTTCTTGTGAGAACTATACCGCTGGTCATGAAACTTGCCAATCCGCTAGTAACTCCCGAACTTGTGGTCAGATTATGCGAAGCGAACATGCCAGTAGCGTTGATGGCGTTGATGTACATGTGTAAACGGTACCCATTGCCGAAAGTGATATCGCTCGCGGAGAATTTCTCGGACAAACGAGTCAGTATTATGAAGCACGGTATCCGAATAATGTACCTAGTGGCATCCTTGCAGCAACTTGAGGATTTCATCCCATCCATATGGCAGAAAATAAAACATCATTCGATACGAACTGTTTTGCTGACGATCGTCCAGAACTTGTTGCTCAAGGATCCAAATGACCATAGTTGGTCCTTGTTCAAAAAGGTGATCTCAATGATGATCGTCGAGAAGAACTTGTCCTTGCTCCCAGAACTAAATCCGATTGACATATCTGACATGTACACCATGGAATACATCGAGTTAATGCTCAACCTGATAGACAGCATGTTAGCGAACGGAGTGGAAATCGAAAAAGTGCGCAAATGCATCAGCAGTATATTAGAAATGTTGGCTCGACAAACTAAAACGGATCTACCGATTAGGTACGTCGAGAAGTTACTGCCCGAATATCTGTTTCACCAGATCGAAAATGTAGCAAGTGCAGCGACAAAATTCGCCGTAAATTTGTGTTTATCACTTGCGCCTACCGATCCGATGTACAAAACTCGTATGGAGATTTTCTCCGACGTTTTCAAGGAAAAAGTACAGAGAAACTGGGGAAAGTGCCATCAGAAGAAAAGTGATTTTTATCCGATCAACTATGCCGTCAGCGAGTTCATCAAGAATTTCGCAATCACTGCTTCCCGCGAGAAATGCTATATTTCGCGAATCTCCGAAATGATAGAGCTCTTCTTATCCGTCTTAACGCCTCAAAAGGAACCCCGTTCTTACTTGCTATTAGTGTATGCACAAGACTGGTTGACAAGTACGTCACTCGAACAATACGGTCTGAAACTTAGTGCGAGAATGCCTAACTTGATTGAAACGTTTTCGCTCATGTTTATGCCCAACATGATCGATATTTTCAAGTATCATCTATTCAGTACGGTGAATATGAAAAACTGGGATAAATTCAACAATTTGAAGATCGACTTTACGCTTGATGTTGTGAATGGTCTCATCGAGACCGGCAACGTGGAATCCTGTTTCATGGCTGTGAATTTGTTGGTAGAATATATGCCATGTCGCAACGTGAGATACTGCGGACTTATCGAAAAGCTCTTGAACATGAATCATTCTGGTATCACGAGTCTTTTAAACAAGCACAAAAACCAAGTTTCTTACCATAATGCTAAGTTCGATATTGACGACTGAGTAGGTACCGCAGGAACTAAAAGTAAATACTCGCGAGTAAGTTTGAGTTGTATTTAATTCGTTATATTTTCGATAGTGACCTTCGATGACGCCATATGCTTCGCGACGACATCGTGAGATTGTTTATTGCACAATTAAACAACGATTTCCCTGCGAACGTGATTTCACACGTCGTGCACACGTGAATTTATTCCCACGCGGGTTTCCCCGCGAAAAAAAGGAAGAAGAAAAAATCGACAGTCACAGGCATCAAGTTCTCTCATTTGCAGAGGCGACTTTCTGTTTTTCTCGATGTGCAGATACATAGCTGAGGCGTTTAACACGCTATTAGTGGTCTTCCGGAGGAAATAAACACACGGCAATAAAAGTTTATAGTTAACGACTCGAGAAAGATGAAAGAGCCACCTCTCTCACGTTATATTTAAGTTTCCAGATCGCTAACCGCTGTAGAACCCGAGCTGGTCTCGCTGTAGAAACCGATGTGTGCGATAAACATAACAATGCAATGTTAATAAAACTTTTCCAAGCAGCTTGGACGGGGATGTGATGTTGGCGTAACGTGCATCCGTTTTTCTCCCTTTCTTTCTCTCGGTCTTCATGCATATTCAGCATGTGTTTGAATACAGCATGACACACGAATGTATTCAGCACGAGCATGGATGCATTTTTCGGCACATAAGCCTCTTTTTTATTCAATAATAATCCGCGAAATACCATAAAAATCTTTCTTGATACGTGCGACATGTATTATGCGGCTATTTTATTGAGAGAGATAAAGAGAAACAGAAGAAAAAAATGTGGGATTTTCTTTTACTTTCAAAATACCCGCGATTTGCTCGACACATGTGTTTAGCAACTGCCTATTTATAACTATCCTTAGGCACATACATACCGTAATATACTGATCTTCAACGATAACTTCTGCGAGCAGACGACTCGATGGTGTTCTTAACAGAGTGGTTCAGTCGACTTCGATCGGGATCTCGGGAGGAAGAATGGTAAGAAAAAATATCCTGTTCTTCGAATGTTGAATCTTGAAATGTTTCTTGAAATCGATCTGAAGCGCGAATTCCTGGTCGCGTTCCTGTATTAGCATTGCTGTGAATAATGTCGTGAATGCATATGTCGTGTGTCAGCGCGTGAGCTAGAGTGCTAAATATATGTATCTATTAATGTATCGACGTGCATCAGCAAGATTCTCGATTGCGAACTTGCTCATAAATTGTTATAGATAATTGTGCAGATACGAGTATTTACTGGCAGATCAAGTGGAGATGAGGAATACATTGTCGATTGGATTGATAGCAATAAGTAATATTCCAATGGTAAAATTTTACGAAAACATTATTATAATGGGAATGGACAAATATTCTGTCTTGAACGTTTGGCGAGAAAAAGAATATAGAAATGTGAGACAGCGGAGACTTAAGACAATGGCTGCGTTCAGAAAACACAACGGTTACACAACGGTTGAGTAATTCGTCAACGTTATTGGTCTGAATGTAAGGGTCTAACAGTAAGGACCAATAGTTACTAAGCGCTCAGTGAGCGCTTTGTTTTCTGAACGCAACCATTGAGACGTAGAGTTGGAAGTTTGTAGGAAAATATAAAAAATAGAATTGTCGACGTGTTTGATAGAAAATATTTCACATCTCATAGAAGCGAATGTAAGAGATAAATTGCCAAAGTTGCCTAGGTACATAATCAATTAAATGTAGATAAAAAAAATCAATAAGAGTATTACTATATACAGGTGTCTCATTTAAAAAAACGCACCTCGATAATTTTTCAACAAAGCATTTTCAGTAAAAATGCTTCGGATAAAAGTTGTATAATTTCAAGGGGGACATAAAACAACTATACTATTTTGTTTACAAATGGCACCACTTTCGAGACTCACTGATTATTACTTTTCTTAAACAGAAATCTCAATTATTTATTACACCTTCTTTTTGTATCAATTAATTTGAACAACTTTTGTCTGAAATATTTTTTTATTTGCTTAATATTTTTTCAGATATATAAAGAAAACTTGATAACTTTTTCAATATTTAACTCACGATATCTCGCTAACTATTTGTCGGAAGAAAAAGTGGTACTAGACTTTTTTGCTCTATTTAATCTCAAGAATATATTGTTACAATAGTGTCCTGACTTTTTTTGTTAAAGTTTTATTGATGTTTTGTTGATAATTTTGAAATGTCCAAAAGTCAGTAAATTAACAAAAATTAGGGCGCTATTATAACAATATATTCTTGAGATTAAATAGAGCAAAAAAGTCTAGTACCACTTTTTCTTCCGACAAATAGTTAGCGAGATATCGAGAGTTAAATATTGAAAAAGTTATCAAGTTTTCTTTATATATCTCAAAAAATATTAAGCAAATAAAAAAATATTTCAGACAAAAGTTGTTTAAATTAATTGATAGAAAAAGAAGGTGTAATAAATAATTGAGATTTCTGTTTAAGAAAAGTAATAATCAGTGAATATCTCGAAACTGGTGCCATTTATAAACAAAATGATATAATTATTTTATGTCCCCCTTGAAATCATACAACTTTTATCCAAAACATTTTTTTCTAAAATGCTTGGTTTTCGAGATATTTTACCGGTCTGGGACTTTTTCCTCATTCTGTATAATTCTTTTCAATGTTACTTCTACTGTACGTGGTGAACGAAGAACATTTTTAGAGATTTTATATACCACATTAATGCGAAATCATGTTTGAGGGATTTCACCGCTCGGTTACGTGTCCTGCAAAGTTTACACTTGTTCGCGTCGCAAGATGTGAACTTCTGAAGAAATGTTGATAACACAAATTTCATTAGAGGGAGAGTTCATGTGGCTTTGCTAACTAAAACTTTATCGAGAATAAATCACTTTTCTCTTCTTTCCTTTCTCACGATTGGTAGTAGAATAGTAAGACAGGTTCTAACCCAGGAGTGCTGAGGGGGACGCGGGGAAGCGGGGAACTCAGGGCGCGGGGAAGAGGAACTCATGGTGGGACGTCACGCAAGATGGCGGTCGTGATGTCACGCATACGTCACGAAAAAAATGTACTGGGGTGTAGGTAGACTCGAACCCGGGCTCTCGCGGTTACTATCCAATGCTCCAAAGCTCCTAGACTACCCTCGTCTGTTGCTATTGGACGTCTAGTGAAGGTTCTTAGAGTATGTATGATGACGTCACGAGAGAAAAGATAAGTCGAAACTAGGTCAGACTCAAACCCCAAGCCCTTCGTTTACTGTCTCATATCGAACGTCTCAAACATTTATCGAACGTCTCTCGAACGTCTATCGAACGTCTATCGAACGTCTCTCGAACGTTTATCGAACGTTTCTCGAACGTCTATCGAACGTCTATCAAACGTCTGTCGAACGTGTATCGAACGTCTCTCGAACGTTATTTGCGGTATAATAAGCATTATAAGCAAATAAAGAAGCATTTTTATTAAACACAATTACCATATAAAATTCTAAGAAAGGGGATAAGCGTGTTAGAAGAAACATCTGTACATTTGAAATAATGTTTTATTATATAGCGTCGTACAATTTTCTTCGAGACTACCAATTGAAAATATTTAGTACATTTTGTAATGCACAATTTTTCATATGATTCCCAGCAAACACAAACATGTAACAGTTACATTACCGTAATGTAACGAAATGTGACATGTAATGTAACGTGCATGTTGTATGTAACATACATGTTCGTTAAAATTTCCTACTCATGCGAAGTGACAAATACATTACATAAATATAAGATGTTACTACAATGTTACATAACCGTTACATTAGTTACAAGAAGGTAATGCAACAGTTATATAAGTTGATAAAAGATTATATAACTGGAACATAACTTATTTAACTGTTATATAACTATTGTTATTTTGTTATATAATAGTAACATGACTATTATTAAAATCGCCGGATATATTAGAAAACCTCCTAACTCCAAATTTTGACAAAACTGAGATACTATATGCACATTGATGTATCAATACGTATATAGTATCTAATTTCGTAACAAATTGGAATTAGGTTTTCTAATTATACGATATCCTAAAAGAGAACAACAAATTCTTGATTAATTGTAGGAAAACCAAACATTTTGTTAAATTAGAGAATGTGGCTTGTGTTTGTTGAAGATGATCAAATCATTTTTTTACAAATGTAATTGTAACATTTGTCAATAAAATAAAATATATAATTATAAAATATTTATTAACAAAAATACTCCCTTATAAGTGTCTCAACTAATATTTAATGTAATTCTCACTATTTATTATCTTATATTTAATATATAACAAGAAATAAATATTATTTTACATATAAGTATCATTTAATGCATTTATTGTCGAAGTAATAAGAAATAATTTTTTAAAATGTTGTTAAAATAATATTTTTACCTATCTCAAAAACTTTATATATATTTAAATTTGTTCATATGTATTCTGAATTAAATTTTTATTATATACGAAACACATAAAACAAAAATAAAACAAATGTTTAAGATAAAAATCTATAAAGAACTATACCTATCTCAAAGACTATATATATTTAAATCTGTTTATATGTATTCTGGATTAAACTTTTATCATATACTAAATACATAAAACAAAAAATAAAACAAGGGTTTAAGATAAAAAATAAAAAACGCTATTGGACTATAAAGAACTATAAATTATTAATTTTGGGTATTATTTTCCGCTGCATTTTGGATATTATTTTCCGCTACATTGTTTTCTATTATTTTCTCTTTCTTCTTCCGCTGTTTTGCGAAACGTAACCATTTTGATACAATAGAATCGAAATCGGTCTCCATGAATGTACTATATTGCGATGTTATCTTTCCTGAAAAGAAAAAAGATATGTATTAACTGATACAAATGTTCTAACAATAAAAATTGTGATTTATGTATATATTTTTGTATGTATGTTGTATATAAAACATACTTTTCATAATTTGGATGAAATGCAAGTCATAGATTTTAAAATTATTGCGTTTTCCTTTCCACGAGCATTTCATTGCGCATTCGTTTGTAAATATGTTTTTTAAACTGCGATGGATGTTGTCTTTAACGTTACACCCACCAGTCTTGTTTAGCAACTGTTTTTATACAAAAAACCAGAAAGAGATAATTAAGTAAGAAGATATTAAAACAAGTATGAAGTGCATTAAATTCTCACAATTTAAGACTTATGTAGACAAACGTGCATATAGTTCTACAATGTATATGCACAAGAAAATTAACCAATCGTGTGTAAAATTTATATAATATTCATTGATAGATTATAATCGATTTTCTTATGCATATACAATATGAGGTGATACTAATTTAAACATCAAAAAGAAATAACAATGTTGAAAATGAAATACCCGTCCAGGTAATGATATTTTTATTTCCTATTTCATATATATATATATATATATATACAGGGTGTTTGATAGCTGATCATGCAGACGAAAGTTGGAGATAGATTGGGTGTAGCCGAGAAGAAAAGTCATGTACCATAATGTCAAATTGGCAATAGTTACCGAGTTATAAATTAAAACATGTGAGCCAACGAGCGCGTAGAGAGCGGAGGGCGGCCGCAGTAAGCACGTAGACATTTGATACAGGCGGAGTCAGCGAATGGCGATAGGCGAGCGCGCGCAGCGAGGGGCAACGTAAGCGACAAAAGGCGATCGCGCGCGACGAGGAGCGAGCGAGAGCTTTTTCTTTATAGCTTTTTCCTTATAGCTCGCTCGCTCCTCGTCGTTCGCGCTCGCACGCTCTTCGTCGCGCTCGCTCGCCTCTTATCGCTTGCGCTCGCTCGCTCCTCATCATCCGCGCTTGCTCGCTCCTCGTCGCGCGCGTTCACCTCTTGTTGTTTACGTTGCCCCTCGCCGCGCGCGCTCGCCTATCGCCACTCGCTGACTCCGCCTGTATCAAATGTCTACGTGCTTACTGCGGCCGCCCTCCGCTCTCTACGCGCTCGTTGGCTCACATGTTTTAATTTATAACTCGGTAACTATTGCCAATTTGACATTATGGTACATGACTTTTCTTCTCGGCTACACCCAATCTATCTCCAACTTTCGTCTGCATGATCAGCTATCAAACACCCTGTATATTTGTAATGCATGTACCTTGTAATATTATCGGGATATTCGAGCTTTGCTTTTCCTCAGGTCTTGTGAGCAATGGGTCATTTATTTCGTCTGAAAATATATGACTATTATATTATATTGATAAATTAAAAATATAATTATTACACACACACACACACACACAAACACGAATACGCGCGCGCGCACACATACACACACACACAACACACAGAATATAATTACTATATTTGCTTAATGTTATATAATAAAATATCATTTTGTGAAGTTACATAATTATTACTTACTTGTATCAGTAACTGGTACAATGTTATAAAATTCGTTTAATTCCAAATTGGAAGGACATGGTGGTAATGATGAAAAGTACCCGTGCAGGTCTGTTTCTCTGTAAACAAATATGAAATTGTAATAAAATTGAAGGATAGAAATATATAGTATTTTTATGATACTTTACTCTTCAGAATTTTTCATGGTTCAATATAATCTATTGTTTCTTCTTCTTCATCGCTTCCATAAGGGTTATATAAAACATGTTGTCTTTTCCCACGCCCGAATCGTTCATCGTCAGTCGTTTCATAAATCTAATCTGCTGCACACTTTCGTGCTGATTCTAGAGATGCTATAGTAAGAACAAGAAATATAGCATTCAGGTTTGTTGTATATATGAAAGAAAATATCACAATAAAGAAATAACATGTAGAAATATAAAAGAAAGCATAATATTAACCCTTGGTATATTAGATGGGATATGACATCCCAGCAAAATCTAAACTTCAATAATTTTTTAAGAAATACTATACGGAAATTGCCGTTTCATGCAGTTAGAAGTTGTGACGTTGTATTTTTATTCAAATGATATATTTGTAGATAGATAGTGTTCAGAGTAAAATTAACCCTACAGGGTTCAAAGCATGACTGTTTTTCATTCGTGGAGTTAATGATAACTTTAAAATATAAAATATTACGATTATTATTAAAGTGTATTTTTGTGTTTAATACATATTTAATGCGTATTTAAAACATATTTTAAATGGAATTAGTAATGAACTTTGATTAAAAATCTAAGCTATATTCGTTTTAAAGCTGTTGCATATTGTGACTAATATTTTATATCTTTATAATTGAGATTGTAAAAAAATTACAGTACATATTAGTCTGCGAGCACATATATTTAATAATTTCCAACAATATATTTCTTATGCTACAATGTACAAAATTCATTCCAAATGATAAAAATTCAGGAGAGATTAATGGAAATACATACCGCAATATTTTATTATGTCCACTTTATGTCGAGACCATGTATCATAATTTGGATGTGCACACTTTGATATTAAGGTTGCACTATTTGCTGTTCGAGGCGGCCACTAACAATGTTCAATGCCGCCATATTCACAAAGCCATGCTGTTGGAATCTCCGAAAATGTTGAATCGGACAAAAATTTTACTTCTGCATAATTTTTATCAAAAGCCATTACCTCCCAATCTGATGTAAAAAACATACGACGTTTCAATCTGTATATGCAGAGTCAGTCATATAACTACAATATTAGTTACCCACATAACACAAATTTCCAAGGAACGTCTTAAGGATGTTCTTAGAATGTCTGCACATTTTAAAGATAGCCCTTGGAGATTTATGCTATCTAGATAATAATAATTATTTTTAGAGTGCAAAAAGTTAAATACAGCATAAAGAAAATGATATTACATTTACACGAAAGAAGTGTTTATATTATTTATATTATATTACTAACCTTGTAAATGTAGTAATCGTCGAATACGAAATCCAACATATGTAAGTTTTCATGTTATAATACTTAACATTCAGATGAAAGAAACATAGGTTTCATTCTTACTCTCAAAATATATAATTACTTTATCATTTAACGTTTAAAAAATGTTGTAAAGCTTTATAGTATCTAATTATTATTAAGTAACATTGAAATAATTATATAGGAACCTACTTCGTGTAAGTTTTTAATTTTTAAGCATTTTCTTTTAATTTGTGTTACTGTAACTGTTATAATGTCCGAATTTGTAATGTTTGATATTAAAAATATACCAAGTGATTGTGAGGGACAGGGAGCTATTAAAACAGATTCTGGGTTTGTAAAACGTTATGCATAAATATATAAAATATTATTTTCTTCTAATATCTTTAAAATAAAAAGTAAAGAGTTATCAGAAAGTAAAGCACAGTTATCGATTTCGTTTTCTGAAATCTTAAAAGTTTTATATTGTAAATGAGATATTTCGTTATTTTTTTTATACAACAATCGGATATTGTTCTATTATATATGATACAATTGGAAGCTAAGATTCTTCATACAAACGATTTGATAACTCTTCTAAAGGTGCTCCCGATTGATGTAACTTCTTTTTCAGTTTTTGCATATGATTTTCATATTTAAAACAACTAAAATTATCTAAAGAACCAAATCTTTGTACGTCATTTGCAAGGTGAAGAAGATTATGCACATTATAAGAAATAAATTCGTTACCATAAATATTTCCAAAATTAGAAACAAACCATAATAATAATGAGTTTGCATAAGCGTTTAATTTTATACATAGCTACTCATCAATCAGTATTCTAATGGCAACACTAAGAGAAAGGAAGTGACTGTAACAAATTGGAGATAATACTGAACGCATTACAACAATTCCACTATACAGCAAAAATTGACGAAATTCTGTCGCCTTCCATTTGTCAATATCATCTAAACTTCTTGGTTTTCGTGCAAATTCAGATGTAATGCATGACTTTAGTGCAATTAAATTTTATGAAATAGATTTTACATTTTCTGCAGATAATCTAATATCTTTATGTCCTCTTATCCATAACTGGAGCAACCTTTTTACAACGCCTAAACAAACTGGATGCATGTAGTCAAGTGGTACTTGGGATACCATGTCAATAGAAAGTCGTTCTAAGATCGAATCACCCGTGATGTTCAATTTGACTCCTGTTTCTGAATGTATCATCTGTACGTACTATTGACAGTTTCTGGGAATACAACTCTATTTCGTATGAAATCTCCTTCCTGTGTACTGCGACGCGACTTTCGCTCGCCGTCGGCAAACTGCCGTCGGTCCACGCGCCTCGGTCGTTCGCACTCGCACCAAAGAGTTGGGCGCCAGGTGCAGTGGGCTGCACCATTCACCAACACGAAACGATACACCACCCAAGGCCGAGACACGCGAATTCGACGGGACCGGTAGCTCCGCGGTATTTTATAGTCGGTAGACGGGAGGGTTCGATCGGGAATCCGGGATTCAGTCGGGAAGACACAAGAATAGAGACGCGCTTCGCTTATCTCAGTCTTTATTCTGTCAGGGATCGGCACGATCCGACCCCTCGATACGGTACACTCCGCGAGACGCTCTCGCGAATTCGAAACTTGCTCTACGCCGATAACTATTACGAGACTCAGTACGTTTGCGACACCGATACAATAAAGCAAGAGGACGGTCTTACAAATGCGGGGACCTCCCGGTGGCGTGGACTCTCGGTCTCCTTCCTCGGGGTCGTTCCTCCGAAATTCCGCCACCAGCGGTAATCCTCCGGGCGCAGGGAACTCCACCAAACTCCGTCGCTCCACCAAACTCCTGCACTCCACCCCGGTACACGGTATCCTTCCGTTCGTTCGCTAACGACAGGCACTCTTCTCGTCCACGATAATTCTCTCTTTTCGGTTCTCGGTAATCGACTTTCGAAGCAAGCGGTAAGAAGAAGCAAAAGAAACGGGAGTGCCCTCTTTTATTTCTTTTGTGTTGTCGCGCTACCCGTCTTTCCCCATTCTTCGTCGTATCTCCCGATACGGCTTGGTCTCACTCTTGCTCGTTCTCTCTCTCTCTCGCTCGCACTCCCGCTGTCTCTTCGTCTAGGCCGGCTTTGTCTAACTGGCGCTCACGCTTCGGACACGGGAACGCCGACAGTTTGGCGCGATATCCCTGCGGGCCTGTGGACAACGGAATCGGCAGCGAGAATCTTTTAAGGCGATACGGAATCGATAATATTACTCATAAGGAAGCGCATTCACCTGGGGTGGCGGTCTTGTCGAGGGGTGTCGTCCTCTTCCTTCTTCCGCTGGTCCCTCCGGTCTTGATGGGCGGCACAGGAGGTCCAGGGGCACAGAGCTCGGGGACGCGGGACCGTTCCACCTGCACGCTCCTATTGCTAACACTAATTAATACGGGGGGGCGCAATGCGGCTCTTCCCCCCCCCCGCAATTCTCGCGCGATGTACTGTCCGCCCCCCTCGCACCCTCGCATAAGGGCCGAAGGTTCGGCCTGGGACGGGCGCCTTCTCGGCTGCCACGTCACAGTACATTTCGAACATGAGAAATAACCAGTATGTCCTTTTGTAAAGGTAATAAATCCCGATTTTGCGGGAGCATCGCACAATACAGCATTCAGAGTAACTGTATATCTCTTGTCGGAAACAATTATACCTATTTCAGACAGGAAGATAAATTCATTTACAAACTTCGCTACATTCATGCACCCAGAATGTGCCACAAGGAAACTCTTAATCCGATTTTACATCCCGTTTTTTTGTTCTTTTTTGTTTTTAGTTTTCTTGTTTTTTTTGTTTTTTTTCATTTTTTCAGTTTTTTTATGTTTATTTTCTTTTAGAATATCTTAAGTATTTTTTTCTTGGAAATTATTCAGTTATTAGCAGAATTTTATAGTATATGTAGAAAATCATAAGTTTACTTAAAAATAAGTTAATATGAAAATAGTTTATCGTGAATTTTCAAACATTTAACTAGTCATTATCAAAGGTTTCCTCATCAGATAATTCTATGCTATCAAGTAGTTGATTAACCATGGCAAATCCAGTATGTTCTTCAGCAACCTCTTCTGTTGTACTGGCGTCATCATCACTATCCTGTTCATCTGCATCTGTCAAAAGTAATTGCGTCACTTCTGTTGGCAACGGTAATCGTTTTTTTTTGCGCATTCGAGATATCATACTCATGTTAGACTGTATTGGATCGGAAGAGTACATTACTCGATAAAATAAATCTTCTAAGTTTGTTTTCCTGCTGAAATGTCTACTGTGACTAAGCCTGAAATTCTTGTAATCCTTATTACGAGATTCGGACGCTTCTTCTCCAAACATTCCTACTGGTAAGACAGAGTGCTTTGTTATATCTCCAGAATGAATTAGTATCTTATGAATTGTCGATGGCATGGGAAACCATGGATATATAGTGAAATATATAACTGTGCAGTATTTGTACAGAACTCCTCGAATTTTTGCACATTGATTGATAGTTGGCACAAAAGAGAAACTAAAATAATCTTCAAATTATGTACCAAGCGGCGAACAATTTGTAAGCAATCAGCAAAAATGTCTGCATTTTGAAATGCTCTGCGTGCTGTATTGCCGTCGTTAGTACTACCACTGCCACTAGTTTTTGGCTTTTCAACTATCAGGCCTAATTTATCATGTAGGGATTTTAACTTTTTGTTCTTCCAACATTTTTTTTCTTCAGGAGTTCTCACCTGCCATTTTTTTATATTGATTCGATACGCTATATGCAAGCAGCATTCAAAAAACCTAGTCCAGGCATGTAACGGGAAAACTCCATATTGAAGTGAATTAGGATCAGGAAGAAACTTGTTTGTTTGTCCAGAAATGTTCTGAGGATCATTGAAATTCTTTGGAGT